GAGCTATTCATTACTGAGTCCTTTTTTTTGACACTTTGATTTCTGTTTTGGGGGGTTTTCAGGTTGTTTTGAGCTATGGTCTTAAACTTTTGATCAGCTGAAAAAAATCATGTTTGAGTGTAAATGCAGTTGTCAATTAATTCCCAACTCAAAAGTTCTTGTCTCTTGCACTGATTTTTTCCTTATACATTGTGAAGCTCTACTTAGAACCTTCTTAAGATCCAATAGTGCAAAATGCAAATTCTTGCACTTTTTTGACTGGTCTTAAGATTTTGATCAGGAGTGTATATAGGGGTAAATAGCGTTTAATTCTGAGCTAATATGTATATAAATGGTAAATGGTACTGAACTTATAGAGCACTTTTCAAGTCCCTCCGGACCCCAAAGCGCTTTACACTAACAGATATTCACCCATTCACACTCACATTCACACACTGATGATGGCAAACTACACTGTAGCCACAGCTGCCCTGGGGCACACTGACAGAGGTGGGGCTGCCATYCAKCGGCGCCACCGGACCCTCTGTATGGATAAATGACAGTAGTTCCTGAGCTATAAATGAAGATAAATGGTGTTAGCTCTTAAGCTAATATATATGACAATAAATGGCATTAGCTCCTGAGCTAATCTACGTAACTGGAACGAAACAGAAAATTCACGATTCGGTTCAGTTCGATACTTTTAGTCTCACGGTTCGATATTTTTTCGATACAAAAAAGAGAAATGTCCATGCTCTTTTTAACTTGTAATTTATTTTAATTAATTATGAACATTTATTTAACCTTAAAAGTCCAGTTTTTAAATTAAATGTTGCTGAAACAACAAGTTTCTCTGTGGATCTGCGCTCCAAAACGCAGCCTAGGTGGAGTAGTCGAACACAGATCCACTGATCCTTCAACACAGAGCATCTTCAGAAGACAAGCTGATAAAATAAATTAAAAATTCTGTATTGTTCCATACACAGTGTGTGTAGTGAGCGGTTTGATGTGGGTACATGTGTTGTTGCACTCCTAATATATAAATATATCTGTTGCGACTCTAATGACCCTCAGGAGGTAGGGTGGAGTGAATAATCTGCATATGGGGTCAGGCCTCTCCAGATTTTCTGTAAATTTTTAAAGCTCACTTATAAAGAACCAGAATCAGGGTTGGGTCTGCAGAATGTACTTCCGCTGTGGATATATTATCTTTAAGTAAGTTTTTAAAAGTTGTTCAGTGGTTCATGAGATATTTTGCGAACAGAGAGATGCACACATGCAGCCAGAAACATCCTCACCTGCTTTCTGCAGTAAACGACTGTAAAAAGTGAAGCATAATTTCAGGAGATTACACAGATGAAAGCGGGAGTAACAGCAGGAATGTAGAGGTCAAAGGTCCCAGCTTGTATAAATAGTTCTGGTTCTGTTTCAGGAATCGTCCCCTTAGCAACCACCTCCACACACAAAAACACTTAACAAACAGGAAACACGTTGGAGCAACGTTAAGTCTGTGCGAGTCAAATCTGAGGGAAAACTACAATCTGCTGTAAACTTTAACACAGAGCAGGTTCTGTGGAGGAACTGGTCCAAAGTTCAGTCCACACAGAACAGAACTCAGAGTTCACCTCCAAAAACTCAACACCTCATTTATCCTGTGAATATTATCACTTCATATGTCAGAGCCAGGTGTGCAGGTGACAGACAGGAAGACTAGATTGAGTTTTGCTAACTTTGCTAATGAAAACAAAAATAACCGTCCCACTAATGACAGAACTCGAGTTAGCAGTTAGCTTAGCGTTAGCTTCCACTAATTTTCTTACCTGTTTAGTGGTTTAGTGTTTGCAAAGCTAATATTTTTAGCTAACAGATTGACGGTTAGCTAAGTTTTRGATTAGCTGTGCCCACTGCTGCAGTTACACATGGAAAACGGTTTAATTTAACTGGAAACACTGAAMGTTTCCTTTGAGAGGGTCTTCTTTGGTGGTTCACTGTAAAGAAAACTAAACCAAACTCTAAACAAAAAGACATTCATGGCAACAAAAGACTTACAGAACTGGAGAAAGGAGGCACGAGGAGGCAGAGGGAGCACCGGATGTGGCACAATAATCCACAATGTTCCACTGTTGAGTGAAGAACAGCATGGATGATGATGGGCTGAGTGACTGCAGCTGTGACTAATGAGACCAGGAACAGGTAAGGCAGGATTGAGGAGATGGAGCACTGCAAACAAATGAAAACATGAACAAACAAAAGTTAGTATAACTAAATGAATCCTGGATCTAAAGAAGAAGAAACTAAAATCTCTGAGATTCTGTTCGACTTTAATAAAAACATTATTAACAGTTTTTATGTCTGGAGACTTTATTACATTATATGGTTTGTTTTTCTCTTAATTTACTAAGAATAAAGCAAACTAAAACACTACTCAGCATTTTTTAGATGAAAGAAAAACTTTAGTCTGATTTTAAAGCTTCACAGAGTTTGATCCATATTCAGTCAGATTCCTGGGCTGGTAGGTCCAGATGTGAGTTCTTCTTCAGGAAATGAAGAGCAGCAAACTTTACAAACGTCTCTTAGAATCGTTGATATTTAACATTTAAACAAACATTTAATTCACAAATGGAGTCAAAGCTTTTTTTTTTTTCAAACTGCTTCCAGTTCAGAAAAACCTCTGGAAATCTCTGTTTTTCCTGAGCTGCTGGGCGGTTCTGATGCGTGCCAGTCGGAACCAAACCGTCCTCTGGAATCTGAAACCCACAGAACAGATGATTAAAACTTGGTGTTTGGGCTCCGACCTCATGAAGAGCCCAACAGAACATGTTAATATGATCCAGCCTCAGCGTCTCTTTGATTTTAATCCTCTGCAGATCTCCAGTGGACTTTTGAACCTGACCCGGTCTGAAACGGAGCGCCTGTCCTGAGCGGCGTTAATTCATCCATGATGGAGGTCGGCCATTTCCTCCTCTGCTGACTTCAGTTCAATCTGTCAAGTTTAGCTTTTAAAAGCTTTTAAAGAGTCCAGTCTAGAGTTACCCTTTCAAAGTGTGTCTCACCAACTACTGTAAATATTAGTTTAAACGTGTGTGTGTGTGTGTGTGTGTGTGTGTGTGTGTGTGTGTGTGTGTGT